AGGGACATCGGTGGACGCTGAACTGCGCGGGCAAATGATACTTCCCGGTTGCCCAGGCCGAGGAAGGGGGTTTGGTTGAGGTACCCCACCTTGAGCCTTTGACTCAAAAGTCTGACCCACAAGGCAGTGGGATGGCGTAGGGTTTTGTTCGGGGACCATGCCCCCTTGTCTCTGACTCAGAAGTCTGACCCACGAGACAGTGGGAGATTGTAGGGTTTTCTCTGGGGACCCTACCCAGAGCCGACGACTCAACAGTCTGACCTACTCGGCTGCAGGGAGTTGGCCTAACCCGAGGGCGCAGGGAATAAGGCATTACTGTCTCATTCCTGATGCGGCTGCGCACAGCAGGTGCCTTTTGAGCAGCACCGGGCTCTTTGGTTTTAAAAGTATTTCGACCCTATTGGATAATGCGCCGGCGGTCACGGTCAACCGTTGGGCGATCGGAGTGTGCGGTTTTTGGGGCCGACCTTTTCTAACCCGTCCTTCCTCGGGGGGAAGCAGCATCGCCGCTTCCATAAACATGGACATGCTGGTCGCCTGGGGAAAACACCTTACTGCCTTTACACTCCTGTCGCAGAGGACAGTACGACTTTACCACCAGACCGCCCCGTACCACGATTGCTCGTAGTGCGGGGTCTCGCTGTTCCTGGTCTGGCTGCTCCCCTTTGGCCTTCCTGGCATGGTTGCACCTTGTGGAACGAAGTTCCGGCCAGTGCAGCCCGCGGGATCATTGCAGCACTCAAGCCCGACCACCACGTCAAGGTGGCAGCTTTAGGTCGGGATTTACCTAAGTTAGGTTGGCTTCAGTAGCTGGTCTATTCGGCAGATCTTCGAGTGCATCGTGCCACTCTTAAAGCTGGGCACCATTTAGTCTTTTCGACCCTCGAGATGGTTGGTAACGACAGACGGGCTTTGCCACCAGCTCCAAACTTCAGCGACCCAGTCCACCCCCTCCAGGATCCTGATTATCTTTCCGCTTGGCATTTGCGCCTATGAGGAATGGTCGTGCCTTCCTACTTGCCATTTTCCGCCTAGTCCTGTCCTCAACGGTGGTCAAGGTTCCCCCAGCCCTCCTCTCTTCCGGAGACGGGCGTGTTGTGGGCCACAACCCAATTTGCTGATCAATTAGAAGGCGTGGATGCCGACCGTACATCAACATGAATGGGGCTTGTCTGTGGGTGGCTGAATCGATGCACGATTTGCTAACATCATCGGGCAAGTTCACTTTCCAGTCACATTTCGCCGCCGGCCATTCCTTAACCGTATGGTTATTGGTTCAGCTGAAGCACTTTTTCGAAGCTTAACTGCCATGCCACCGGAAGGAAGCACGAGGGCTGGGATACTGCCAGGTTGCCCAAGCCCAGACAGGGGTAGCCGATAGACAGAGGTCGGGTTCGAACCAAGGACCTTGCGGACAATAAATTCGCACTTAAACGACTGAACCATCTCGCCCCCCGTATGGTTACTGCGTTCGCCAAGGCCGTTTGTTTGTGGACGGTATGGTGCGCTTCTTAACTGCATGATGCCCATCTGCTGAAAGCTACTCCTGAACTCTTTACCGTCAAAGTAATGCTCCTGATCCGTTAGGACCATTTTTGGAATCTCGTGGTTGGACGTGATGTGATGCAACCACTCCACCTATTGTCATTGCCCATTGATTTGGTACCACTGCTGCCCCGATCCATCGGGACCCATAATTGCTGTACCATTGGCTTCACTGAAAATGGACCCATGGTGGACCATAACACCGATCTCTGATAGGTTCCATGGGGTGAGTTGCCTCTGTCGTATCCAGTTGGCACCGCTCACAGGCCATCACATAATCCACTACCTCAATCATCATCCCTGGCCAGTCTGCTTTCTGCTGATGTAGGTTTTGTCTGTATTAACCACCTCGTGGCAACCGATGCTCAGCTTCCGTCTCAAGATGTGAGATATCACGGGCAGCACAATATTCGAGGATATTATGCTAGCTTCACGCAGGTTCAGTTTATCGAAGTGCTTCTGGAACATCAGCAGTTCTGTCTCCCTTAGCATTCTCAACACCCCATTCCGTCCAACAAGGTGGCTGTGACCTTCCGTACGGCATCCCACCGATGTAGTGGCTCCAACCTTCCGAGATCCAGGTCGACAACCTCCTAAATAACCCAACTAGCACTAAGTTACAACAGCACAATCACCAGCGTCCGTTGGAGGGTCAGTTGCTGACCCAGCATCTGCATGTTTGACACGTTCGAAGGGATCATGCGTTCCACTTGTTCATTTGAACTTCCGAATTTGACGCACAGTGTGGCAACATCCGTATTGAAATCCATGACAAAGCGGCTGTAATATTCTGCTCGTCCGAGAAACTGCCATAAGGACCACTCTGAATTGGAGACTGCACAGTCACAGACCTTAGATATTGTCACTTAATGTCGGCTATTATGTATAGTTTGTCGATACGCATAGAAACAAGGACACAGTAACCACGACTGTTTGAGTGCCATTCGAATGGATGAAATTCGGACATCAGTGGAACTTCTGTGATGACATCTTCCAGCTGATCTGTTTCAATTTTCAAGTGACCTCCCGACTTCATTCGGAAGGCCGCCAACTTCGCTTTTACTTCTCTTTTAGACTATTTACCACATTACTTTCAGGCCCCTAAAATTATCCCAAAAAGTTTAGTAACGATGACTCTATAGCCAACAATAGTGGAACTTCATCCACTGGAGCGGGAGCCCAAGTACTGATAGTCAATGTTTGTCCGTGTGCGGTCACGAGAGGTTTCTGCACGGAACCCCAGCAGATTGCACGAATATACAGCCATGAAAAAAACTTCAAAAGACTGTTCAGCTGTAACACCCTTCCGGTGCCTAGCAGCCATGCTACCCAAGGGAAGCACGAAGGCTGGGATATTGCCAAGTTGCCCAAGCTTAAACAGGGGAAATCGGGAGGCAGAGGTCGGATTCGAACAGCAAACCTTCCAGTCGGTAAATTCGCGCTCTAACCACTTCTCGCCATCTCGCCCCCGTACATGGCTGCAGCCATGACCATGATGACGAATGTTCCAAAAGTAACTGTGGGACTGGAAACGACCGAGACGAATAACGGATCCAGTCCTCGGCTGTGATGCCCGTGGGCCTTTATGTCCCATGTAAATAAGCGGCCGGTCGTAATGAAATGGAGATAAGAATCCAAATTATGTATACCAGTAATGTGTACCGGACATAATTAATAACGAGCGGTCTGAGATGAGGGCATTCCCAGTAAACACAGTGCCACCGGTGGCTAACGGTGGCTATCGGCGGCTAGAGGTGGCTAAATTTTGCAACGTTATTACCACTGACAGGCATCACGCATACAATCCTGATATGGTAATTTTTGCATATATGCTTTCTAAAATTATGGAAAACAGGGCGAATAAGTTATTGGACCCCTGGGTAAAAAGTGATTTTCAACACCGTTTTGTTTTAATGCACGGTCGATCAAATATGTCGTTTATTGCGCTAAGTCCGGTTCTCGTTAGCTGAGTCATTCTCCGCTTGTGCGCTGCTACATTTCGTCCAATTTTCGGACGGTCGACAAACTTCAAACGGTCGTGTAAACCAAATGCCTCTCAGTCAAGTAACGGTTTCTGATTACTTAAATTATTCTCAGAATTATCGAAGCAATGCAGCTGAGAAACAAAGGCGCTATCGTTTCAGAAAGCGCGAACTTTCTTCTCGAATCTGTTTACTGTGTGGACGCGGCAATATGTGGGATCACCGAAACGGGTGTAATAATTTGGGAAATGCAGGAAGTATAAGCTCTCCTCCAACGCAGTCTGGTAGGTGATTATATACTGGGTCATTAATGTGCCCGCAATGTTGAAAATTTAGATGTGACTGCACTTTCCATAATAGCGGAACCTGCATTGTGCGCCACAGAACAGGCATCGGAGTACCCCAGCCCAACACCGCGTAGGTTGTTATTTAGAGGGTACCTAGCTATATATCTCCTTTTTAGGCTCAGCGATTCCATTCTGGGAGCAACACTACCAAACACCTCGAACGCTTTCTATCGTGGAGGACATGCGCTATGCCCTGGCGCATCTGCCGGTGTCCCTCAAATACAAGCGTATGTTACTGTTTGTTCTGCGTCGGCACCATCCTGATTTGCCGAAGGACCCAAGAACTCTGCTTTGCACACCAAGAACGACAACCCATAAAGCCATTGCCGGAGGTGTTTATGTCCACGTTGGACTGCGAGTTGGTTTGCTTAAAGCCTGGTTGACAGCCAAAAGGCGCAGCGAAATAAGATGGCTCAACGTTGTGCTTAACATCGATGGCGTCAGTTTACACGGGTCGTCGAGAAAACAGATTTGGCCAATTCTCGCCACTGCATCCGAATTAGCTGGAACGAGGCCATTTGTAGTTGGTGTCTTTTGGGGTGCTTCGAAACCGTTGGACGTCGAAGCCTATCTGGAGGACACGATAAGCGAACTGCAGCTGGTTATGGAAAGTGGTTTCGCTCCAACTAATCTAGAATGTGTGCCTGTTCAGCTGTCACGCATCATTTGCGACAAACCAGCCAGGTCGTTGATCACGCAAACCAAAGGACACTCCGGTTATTACGGATGTGATAAGTGTGTTGTTCACGGACTCCGGCTTGAAGGGACAATGACTTTTCCACAACTGGACTCCCGTTTGCGAACAGACGCGGACTTCCGTTCCAGGTCCAATGCTAGACATCATATCGGTGTCTCCCCATTTGAACGGCTCCCAATAGACATGATCAAGTCATTTCCCCTTGATTACATGCATTTAGTATGCCTTGGGGTGACCAAGAATTTGCTAGAATTTTGGGTTGGTGGTCGAGCGCGTCGTCCTTATCGATTGTCACAAACGCAAAGGACGGAAATTAACCGCCGCATTTCAACGGCACACAGTCACACCCCCAGCGAGTTCCAACGTCGTTGCCGTCCTCTCGAGGACAGTGGACTTTGGAAAGCCACAGAGTTCCGACAGTTTTTGCTCTACTTAGGGCCTGTGGTACTTTCAGACATGACTGAAAGCGATATTTACAAAAATTTCCTTGATTTATCTATTGCTGTTTATCTTTTTTCCCACCCTATTTTCCACGTCGATTATGCTGACTTTGCTCAGAGCGTTGCACGCGTATTTGTACAGAGGTTTTCCGATGTATATGGGCCGCGGGCTATCACGTACAATGTACACAGCTTGGTACATTTGGCGGACGATGTTAGGGTACATGGACCCTTGGATCGTTTTTCCGCATTTCCCTTTGAGTCATTTTTAGGAAAGCTGAGGAAGGATGTTTCCGGGCCGCGTAATCCTGCCGCTCAAATACAACGACGTATCGCCGAACGATCAGAATCAACTTCTGCCGACACGCTAGACTGTTTGCTCACAG